CTTCAATTTTGGTTTTTGATTTGGTTTCCACATCGCAACCTGGACAATATTGTGTTGGTGGATGGTGGCTAAAGATGAGATAAAATAGAATTTCAGATCTACTTGCAATTGGTTCTCACAATTCACATAGCCCTCGTTTAGCCTCCATTAAAACTCTTCAATTTAATTTAATTTTTTCTTTCTCCTACTTTCAACCACACAATTTTCAATAAAATAATATTACACTCAAATCGAAAACTTTCAACCACAATCTTCAAAAAATACTATTCCCCCCATTATAAATTCAAATAATGGGGGCCAAACAGGGTGATAGATTCTACAGCCAAGCTGTGCTTGCAAAAATGGAAAGAGTCTTTGAGTGTGAAGCTGAGAGATAAAGTGGTACATAAAAATGATGTATAAAATTGAGAGGATGTTTGACACTCATTTTAATGGAAAAACGAATTTTAGAATAGTAGATTGATGGAGAATGTGTGGATGAAAAATAAGGAATTTTTTTTTTAAATTTTTGTGTAATATTATTTCAATGAAAAATGTGTGGTTAAAAAGAAGAGAGAAAAATGTATTTTGATAAAAAGAGGAATCAAACGGGCATGAATGTTGAAATTCCTGGTCTTTGTGTTGATTCAGAATAAGAGAGGGATAAAGCGTAGAAAAATGTGATGAATGATCTGGAAGTAGAAATATATGGGTATGGTTGAAGGTGGAGATGAAGTGGGGTGGGGGAGGAAAATAAAGTTTTAAAGGATGGGATTGTGGGTGGCACATATAAAATTTTTTTGGGTATAATTTGCAAAAAAAGTAAAAAGTTTGAGCATGCAGCTGCAATTATTCATTTTTAATTTTGGCAATTTTTACTGTTTTTAACTGGAATTGGGCGGTAGGAGGGTTTTCCGCACTTAAAAGGTTGTATTTCTGCTATTTTCAATAGGTAGGAGGGTTTTCTGCACAACATCTAATAGGTAGGGGGATTTTCTGATTAAGCCTATAAAATTAAATGTCTGAAAATTGATATTTTGTTCTGTTGATCCTGAATCAAGTATCTTAGGAATGTTTTCCCCAGAATTAAACCTTGGTGCTCCGAAAACTGAGCTGTTGGGTTAAAGAGAGAGAGATGGTGAAGGATTGATTCTCTAACCACTTGTGAAAGGTTGGGATTCTGGGCACGCCTGAGTTGGCTGAAAAGCACGACTATTCTATGAGAAGACTGAAAGTTTTCAAAGTAAAAGGTTTCCCATGAAGCTTCTAGCATCTCTCTCGTATATATTGGGTTATTACTATGGTCAGTGTGACTTTGTTGCTCATTCTTCTCCCTTACGTCTTCTTCTTAAGGTACCTGAAGGTGCAACAAAGATCAAAGCAGAATTAATTTGAGATTACTTTTGGTTTAAGAAGAGAAGAAACTAGAGCATAGGATCAGAGAAACGCTCTGTACCATGAAAACTGATTTGGAGGAATAATATATTATTGATATGGATGAAGGATTACATCTGTGTACAGAGAGCATATTGATTTACAGGACGAAGACCTGGACTGTACAATACTTGACCTAATGAAATTTGGAAACGGATTTAATTTAGAGATAGCGATGTCCAATCTTGTGTCCTTAGCCCTCATTTGAAGAACGTGTGGTTGAAAAGGAAGAAAATTTTTGGGTTTACATGTAATATTATTTTATTTGGAGAATGCGTGATTGATAAGAAGAGAGAAAAATAGATTATAATTTTAATGGGGGCCAAACCGGGGCTTAGTATATGGTAACGCCCTTATCAAATTATAGCAGATCTCCTATGAGCATCTGACTTCTTCCATCATTACACTTGGCCATGATTGACAACCTTGAGCACGTTTATGCAACATAGTAGTTGCTGCTAATATCTAACAGCACGAGTAAATTTTTTTTTAACCCTCAAGCTTGTCAGCAAAATGACGAAGATTCTTGAAGTATTGGAGAAGCAGAAATACCAATCGACGATGTGCATATTAATCCTAGTAATTTTAAACATCTTTAATACTAAATACAAACGAAATGGGGAAATCAAAACTTTTGATTTACATTGAGGCTTCGAGATGACTTGACATAATTATCTCTAGTCGTTTTCCTTTTCTAGGGTTCAAAAAAGAGAACTTTGTGGATTGGAATGAAATACTATCAGTGGTCTTGATAGTTTCATCTATTCTTTTATTTTTTAGTCATTATTAACATCTCTTGGATTTTGATGAATTGTTATTTTGGAAAATAGATCTGCTCTGCTTTTTGTTTGGAGATAGTTCATTGTTCTTATGTTATGATATTACCCAAACATTGTATCCAAAAATGCAGGTGGCCCATGTTGGACCTTATTAATAGTTAAGACAAGTAATTTTTATTTACTGTCAGATCCTTGATTTATTCACTTCAATGGTTATTATTATATATGATGCCATATCATTGGTTGTATAGGGTATTCCTCCATTGATTTCATGTACTGGCCTGCTGATTTCAATAAGGGAATAATTATTCTAGTGCACTATACGCATTTTGATTCATTCTTTCCTAGTGTAATTGACCACTGTTTGCAGGCTAACTATGCACTTGAAGAAGAATCACGGGAGATAAATGAACGATTAATAGACACGGTGGTATATATTAGTGATGAAGACATGGATCCAACTGCAGCAGCTGCTACTGCCAAAGGTGGTGATGGAACCATTGCGAAGTGCTCTCTCAGCGCCGTGGCTCTTAGTCCAAATTTAAAATCGCAATATGCTTCGGCACAAATGGTGAGATTTTGAACGCCATCATGTTAATTCCACTTGTAACATCTCTCTTTTGTACAATGGTTTTGACTTTACTTTTTACTGGAATGCAGTCCCCAATTCAACCTTTAAGGGTACTTGTTCCCAGCAACTATCCAAATTGCTCGCCAATACTTTTGGACAAGTTTCCAGTTGAAGTCAGGTGAGAAACAGAGAATTTTGCACTTGCATTCTGGTAAATTTTATATTATTCTCTAATTTTGTTATTGTAGTTTGACCTTTTGATTCCCACTTCAAGGGCCTCTCAGTGTACACAGATAACACAAGGCGCTCTGCAAAAAGAGAGAAAAATGCACATAACCCCTAAAAACTTACACAGTAAAGTTCCAAATAGAGAGATAAACACAAAGATATTGGGAATGATATCAGGGCCACAATTTGGCAAGGGATAACACAATTCGAAAACTCTCGACTTGCCGACCCATGATACCTTATTTTGTCCTCTGTCTAGTGATATGAATAGGTACTAGAACAGTTAACCAAACCTTAAGACCCTGATTGCTAGACACATTTCTCCAACATCAAGCTGCATTTCGGATTGTATGCTGGAAGAGTGGATGGTGCAAAATTGAAACCCCAGGGTTCGAAGATACTAGGCTATGTTGTAACTAGTCATGTATTTTCTCCTCAGCATCTCTGAACATGCCGTACGATTATTGAATCATACTAGCGCCGTTAATAGACTAGTAGAATAACCCGTGAGGGTCAATGTGCTGCTAACAGTCTGGTTGAATTTCTCTGAACACGTGGTAGGAATAGTGGACCGCTGATATTTACCTGCTGCCTTTTGATCTAGCTTGAACAGGCAATTTGTCTGTTGCCAGGGACTCACCTCACCTAGCTTGCATTTATGATAGTTTTATTCTTATCAATGTTGTGGGAATAATTGAAGGAAGACATTTGAGATGAGAAGGTACCACAAAGTTTGACACAAATTCGAATTAGCAGTATGTAAAGAGAGTATTTAATGCATTTCCATAAACATTTCAAATTGAATTATGTTATCAAACAAGGATCAAGGAATTTGTTTCCATTAAATATATCTGTATCCTCTCTATTTTCCTTCCACTTATTTTGAAATGCCTGAGTGCTTTCACATCTGAGAGCAAAATTTAACCACCACAGACGTACTGCACTTCAAGAAGAATTTAGAGTATTCTGAAATTAGAATTGCTCTTTGTGGGCTAGATATATGACCAGTAGTCTTATTGATGATTATCACTCAGCTTGTCGGAGTTACTGAGGGAGGCCTGCTATACAAATGCTCCTTTTGGAACTCTAGGGACGTGAAAGGAAATTGTCACTACAGTAAAATGTTGTATACTTGTCATGAAACAAGACTAAATACACAACATTGCCTTGGTATTGTTTGGGCCATTCCATCCCAAAACCCGAGACACAAAATTAGAAGTTTTTCTCTGTCTAAAGAAAAAAATTATATACTTCGGTCTAGTCTTTACGGTACTAATATGAGACAAAGTCTAGAAATTGAGGATTGGGGAAAGTATGCAGGATGATGGCGATATATGATCGGTTCGTGGTTTATAGACCTGCATTTAATAGTTCTGGCATAACTGGTGACCAGTGTTTAAGTGGCCACTGAGCCTTACATTTTTACTTTTTATTTCTGTGTTAATAGAGATTGGCTGGCAGCCTGAAAACCCAGGCCAGCCTAACGTATACCTGTACTGTGAATCCCTCCTCCCCACGAGCCAGCTTTCTTTTCTCCAAATTATGTCTTGTGTTTTCACTTGCATATTATCAGATTGATAGCTACATTTGCTGATATATCATGAAATCCCATGTATATGCAGCAAAGAGTATGAAGATATCTCCATAAAGGCGAAATCAAGGTTTAACATCTCTCTCCGAAGCCTCTCACAACCCATGTCACTTAAGGAGATAGCAAGGACTTGGGGTTTTTGTGCTCTTGCTGTTATTATATTTGTGCTCGTGCTGTTATTTCTGAGTATGCACAGCAAAGAAGTGGAGGAAGTTTTAGCTCGAAATATGGGACTTGGGAGAACTGCTTGACTACAGCATGATGATGCTTCATATTTGTTCGTCTCCAATTAAAACTTTATGGATATTGAAGAAGATATTCTTCTATATTTATATTTAACCTCACTCCTGGAACACTGGACATGTAAATATAGGTTTTGTAACTCTCCTGTAAGTCGTATGAATGCGCAGAGACTCAAATGCGCAGTACATTTATAAATGTTTATTTTTCTGATTTGGTTTTTGACTGTTCTGGCGAAGTTAAGAGAAGTTGTATGTTCTATTTAGAAATCTGAACATATAAAGCAGAAGTTTTTCACAGTTGATTTCTATTCTGTAGTTAATTCTGGAATGCAGTGTTCCAAGGGAGCTCAGTTATGCCTTTTGACAAGGAGTGTAAATAAATAGAATTAAGTGTCTAAATAGACTTGGACATCTTCTGGGGGAACGTACATTTTGGCTCAAGTTCGACTTTAATTTTTAAATAAAGGAATTTTGGATTGATTGTTTCAGTTGGGTCGATTAAACGTTGGTGGTCACTAAAATTTTGGTGGAATTTTATGTTGGTCATTTGATTTTATTTATTTATTCTTTAAATAGTCTGCAGAAGTAGTTATCAAGTCATTAGTAGTGAGGTTAAATTGAAGTAAGACTCGAATTCAGTTCGTTACCCTAGTAAAACTTTGCTTTTACCGTTAAGCAAGTCTTGACTTGATCACTTTTACTTATTGTTGAGAAGTTTGGATACTTAAATACAATTTTATTCTACTTATAACATTCTTATCGTCAAAATCAACTTCTATACAAGCGAATAGCGTTTTAAGAAAAGAAACGCTATGTAACATACTTGGACGCTCTTGAGTGCACATAAATTTTAACAATACTCAAACACAAGTGCAATCTTTTAATTTGAAGTCGTCAAGGTATATTCTTTTCGGTAGTTTGATGTAGACATTGTAAAATCGACAAGATTCAAAAGTTGAAAAATCGTAATAAGTTGAGGGATGTCATTTTCATAAACTGGATTTTCTATACCTAAAAAAATTGAAAAAAAAGATCCATCCAATTAATAAATGTTGACAAACACAGAGGATGAAGCCAATAAGAGCAAATGTTTCTAAATGCTCCTATTAGAAGGTTTTAAATAAAATAAAATAAAATAAATTATAGAAAACCTTGATGACCTTGGATATATAACCAACTACTAAACATATGACTAGATTACGAGGTATCGAGATGCTACGTTTTGGAAGGAGACATTAAAGAATGAATATTTGGCAACAAGAACTTGGAACATATCTCATGATTTAGCCTCCCTTTGATTCCCATTCCTTGGCCACAAAAATAAAAAATATGACCGTTATCCATCATATCAAGCCACCATATTTGACTTTCTATTTTTTGTGTGGGTACCATAACGAATATATTTTTCATTCTCATTTTTAGAAAATTGAAAATCAAACACTCAAGTAATTTTTTTTCTCCATATTCGAAAGATTATAAGTATTATCAACTTCTTCATTACTCATTTTTATTTATTTATAATTTAAATTGTTTATAAATACTTCCACTCTTCATAGGAGAGTTCTTGACAGTAGCATACTCCTTTCAATTGTCAAATAGACAATGAAATGATTCTTTTTTGCAGATTCCATTCTGAATTTCACACAAAATTTGAGTCAAAATTGCCACATAGGTTTTGACATCAACATGATACATGCAACCTTTTTTAAGAATATAAATGCAAACCACAAATTTATAAGTAGGCTGGACACTACATTTAGCTCCTATTTGATAGAAATTAAAATTAAAATTTTAACATAGTTAAAGTCGGTAACTCATTTTAATTATATATTTATGAGATCTACGAATTTTCAAGCACACATTTCATCGACTTTTATAAAAATCTACTAAAAAAATATGATTTTAATCCCCACAAAATAAGGACTTAATGTAGCTAGGCAGGTAGTGCCATAAGCTAGCATCAGTGGCAGAATCAGACATCTTTCATTGCAGGATCAAAAGTGAGTTACGTTTTTTCTGAAAATCAAACCTTAACTAGCTTGGTTTTGAGGTATTGCTATCTTCTCCATTAGGTTCCAAAGAAAACATAGAGGACTCATTCAAACTATTGAAGGCAAATGTGTGCCCGCCAATGACCACATGTCGGAAAAGTTTAAAAAAAAATTAAAAGAAAATCAAAAAATTCTGTGGGTTAGTGTCCCCACATGAACCCATGTGGATCTGCCACTAGCTAGCACACATGCCAAATTTAAGCATCTCCAGCCCTTGGGGCATTTTTGGCTAAATTGGCATGAAAATGCTCTTCAATCTTAGAACATGTTGTGGTTGATCGACTATTTGAAAGAGGGGTCGCCTGACCTCTTTGGAGGTGGTGGGTCGACTGCCTTCTAGCAGGGACCGTTGTTGGGTTCAATTGGGTTGACGTCCCATTTCATTCCTATGTAATTTAAACAGGCGTGATTTCAAAAATACGCTTGATGATCTTTATTGATATTAAAATATGGCGTATCAAACAAAAATTATGATGTGTTGTATCAAATTATACTAATATAAATGTCCTAACAAGCACTAAGCCCTTTTGTTTAAGCCACAGTATTTTCATAAGAATGTATTTTTGAATAGTGTATTGATGGGAAATATCTGGTTAAAATATAAAGGAAAATTTTGAATTTGCGTGTAATATTATTTTATTGAAGAATGTATAGTTAAAATAATGTCAAATTACTATTTAAGAATATATATAGTTTTTGAAAGAAGGTGGATCAAATAGGACTTTGTGTTAAATACTTGATTTAATGTCATGATACAATGTTGCAAACCTTAAACATGCAATAATAAATACAGAGTTGTATTAATGAACAACTATTTTTTGCATAGTTGTACGAGTATGACATTAATTTACAACAAAAAAATTTCAATTTAAAAATTAAAATAAGTGTAGAATGATTTAATATTCAATAACCAATAAAGTATTTCTTTGGTTTAATCAATTTATTTTTTTAATCAGAATTTTTTTGAATATAAAATTAAATTCCAGCAATTTGGTTTAAATCTTTATATGTTTATTGTACAGATTGCGAAGATGGGTACACAGAAAGTAGTATTGATATCAACATCCATAGATATAAGTTGGATTGCGGTGGTAATGGAAGGATTGTCCCTATAAAGGAAACGCATGAAAATGTTATAGAAATAGAAAGAAGAGAATTGTAAGAGGAGAATAAGTGCTCAATGTAATTGATGTACCCAAAATCATATCCATAGGATCCCATTTATAGATGTCGAAGGGTGCAGATGAAGTAGTGTGGGCCAAAATATGCATCATTTCGAGAAGTTGTAACACTTGGTCAAAACCTACATCCTTTCGAAAAGTTACAACACTTCATTTCTTCCAATTTTGGACCACAGTTTCTCATTTATCCAGAATTGATTTTAAAATTTCAAATATACCACGACGATCTACTCGACGAGTAGAATAAGTTAGTCTATTTACTTTTGTAATTTGACCATTGGAGCAAGTATGATATTTGGTTGAAATTGACACGAACTCACACATTTTCATTTTCCACTTTTACACTTATCCAATTTTGGATTTTTTTTTGAACCAATTCCAACACTGTGTTGCACTAGAAATTATCAATAGATTGATTGTATAATTGTGTTAGCATTTATGTTACGATACATTTAGTTGCATATGGCATGTTTGTTAGGATAGAATAGATCTTATTGAACACTATACTAAAAAGGGAGAAGTTAAAGTCACTTTAATCGTTCCGCATTGAAATAATATGCGCCCAACATCTACATAATTAATTATTTGGGGAAATTCGAGTTGGGGCTTGAACCTTCAATATGTGCCTATGAAAAAGTGTGTGATCGAAAGGATATTGAAGGAAAAGGGTTAATTTGACTATTAAAAAGGAAGTCGTTATTTCCATCAAAAGGTAAAACATTTTACTACGTATACCAAGACTTTTAGCCCCGAGTTTCATTTTTCTCAATTTTTTTGTTCTTCAACCTTTGTAAATTGGATTAGTTTCTTATAGCATATTTAATTGTGTTTTTTTGTTAAATATTTTAGGTAAAGATGAATGTAGAGGTGGAAGCTGGTCCATCCCGAAAGGCAGCCGCTGTTAGAGGCGCCAAAAAGTTGGGGGCTACATGGATTATACTTGACAGGTTAAGAAACAACACACAACTTTATAGCATTTCATAATCTTGATCAATTTTCAGCAATAATATATCATTTGTAACGGTGCTTAAAAGTTACTTTTTTTTTTTCAAGAAGTTTAAGAAAGGAAATCACGTTTCTCAAAATTAGCAACTTGAAAATGAGTTTACTTACTTTTAAACACATTGAAAAGACCCTATTCTGAAAACGGAGATACCCATATTAATAGCAAGTCCGATCTACAAAATGAGATTTAAGATAGAAAAGCATACGCATTACAAAGATGTCCTCTATTGACTTACATTGCATCAAGAAAGATATTTAAAACTTGGTGAAGTATATATATATTTTACAATTTTGGGGTTGAGTTAAAGGATTTTATTTAAGGCTTATTTGACACAACTTTTGCTTTTACTTTCTATAGAAGAGCTCTTGGAGGAAACCAACTTAATTTTTATTTGGAAACTAATTTTTAAAATAGCAATGTTTAATTGGTAAAAACATTGTTACATGTACACTATGGTGTACACTTTAGTTTACCCTTTGTCACGTGATATTACCCTATTGGACAGTTTAAATTTAAAAGAGTTTTCCCTTCCAATTGACACATGACTACAATGCAAGTGTCAAACAACGTGTCAAAAATTAGTATACAAATAGCGAAGTTCAATCGGTGAGAACCTTGCGACAAGTACACTATGGTTTATACTTTAGTTTATACTTTGCCACGTGTCATTGTCCTGTTGAACAGTTTAAATTTCAAACAGTTTTCCCACCCAATTGACACTTGACAAAAATGCAAGTGTCAAAAAATGTATCAAAAGTCCATGTAAAATAGCAAAGTTCAATGGGTAAGAATCTTGCGACATGAACCTTATGGTGTACACTTTAGTTTACACTTTGCCACGTGACATTATCCTGTTGGACAGTTTAAATTTCAAACCATTTTTCCATCCCATTGACACTTGACAATAATACAAGTGTCAAACAACGTGTCAAAACTCAGTGTACAAATAGCGAAGTTTAATTGGTAATTGCTACATGTACACTACGGTGTACACTTTAGTTTATACTTTACCACATGACGTTATCCTGTTGGACAGTTCGAATTTCAAACATTTTTCCTATCCAATTGACACTTGACAAAAACGTAAGTGTCAAACAACGTGTCAAAAATCAGTGTACAAATAGTGAAGTTCAATCGGTAGGAACCTTGCTACATGTACACGATGGTGTACACATTTTAGTTTACACTTTGCCATGTGACATCATCCTATTGGATAGTTTAAATTTAAAACAGTTTTTCCATCTAATTGACACTTGACAAAAATGGAAGTGTCAAACAATGTGTCAAAAATAAGTGTACAAATAGCGAAGTTCAATTGGTAGGAACCTTGCGACAAGCTCTTTTAACTACGAGAAATACTTTCACAAAATTAGTCAAACTGGTCCAAAAGCCATGCCAAAAGGACCCCAAGTGTCCCATTTCATTAGTAAGTCTCTTTAAAGTATTCATTAAAATCATACTCATAGATGAAATATTTTGCAAAAGAGTTACTTTCCTCGTGAGGAAATATGGGTAAAAGATTTGTCTTACATTGCAGGGAGTTGAAGAAAGACAAGCAATACTTTATGGACAGGCTCTTGTGTGGCATATCGAGTATGAAGAGTAACAACACCGTTGTAGAGGTCAGAGGTCCAATTCGAAAACATGTTTCATATGATGAAATGATACCATCATACTCGTGGGAAGAACTTTCTCCTTCACAACAGAGCAAGTATGTTTATCCAGAGGTCCAATTCGAGAACATGGATCATTTGATGAAAATATACCATCATACTCGAGGGATAAATATTCGAGTAAGTAACTTCATTTTTACCACTAGTCTTCAATGGGCATTTCTGTTTCTTTGTTTTTCGACATAGCTGAATTTTTTTAACTGAAATATGGTATGCTATGCTACAAGTGAATATTTGCGACAAGAATTAAATCATAATTTTAGGACGACTGATTCACTTGTACTGAACTGACACAACTTCTACTTGTCTGCACATATATGCATTTTCCAAGTCTCCAAGCATCCTCCTTCATCGTCTTTCGTCCACGATGCCTTTCCCTTTGAAGGAGAAAGGAGAGAGAATGATTACTATTTACATCCACGTATTAATACATGGTATTGTAGAATCTCCAGCAACTCAAAAGGCTAGCTCATTCAAAGAACAAGCTCATAACAGATGCAGTAGGCACTTTCTTGATAATTCCAAAGTATTAGCCTCGACTGCTGGTATTATAGAGACAAGACAGTCTGCAGTGGATATTCAGGAGAGAGAGAGAACATTATGACGACCAAACAAGTAGCTGAAGAAAACTCTAATAGTCGTACACTCAAATATAAGGGCCAAAATGAAGTACGTAGTATAAAATATATTAAACGAGAGCAAAAGAAACAGAACAATGGGGAAGGTAATGAAACTAAGACAAACAAGAGAGGAATTTGAAAGTACTTGTTCAGTTTGTAGAAACAAGCGACCTAAGCTTGCTATGCAAAGGGACTTCACTTTTGAAGAGCTTTATGACGCTACAGGGGGGTTCTCAGATGAAAATTTCATATCAGAAGGGGGATTTGGTTTTGTATTTAAAGGAGTGTTGGAAAATGGACTAAAAATAGCTGTTAAGCAGCACAAAGCTGCCAGTCTTCAAGGAGAGAGAGAATTCAAATCTGAAGTTCATGTACTTAGCCATGCAAGACATCAAAATTTAGTCATGCTACTGGGCTCTTGTTCAAAAGGAAGCCAGAGGTTACTTGTTTCTGAATATGTCTGCAATGGCTCACTGGAAGAACTCTTGTCAGGTAAAAAGTGTTTTAACTGCTACTGTTTCTGTTCTCTTTTTGCACACAACAGATTTTTCAGGAGGCTCCACTATAGTTTACAGGAAAAATGCTCTAATTTGAACCAGAAAATCAGAACTTTTAGGATTATATTTATCCAATGTACAGGTAACAGTAAGAGGCCTCTCAACTGGGAAAAGAGAATAAAAATAGCACTGGGAGCTGCCAAAGGCTTAGAGTGTCTGCACGCCCGCAACATCGTCCACAGAGATATGAGACCAAGCAACATTCTCATTACGCATGACCATGAGTCACGGGTACGATTTGGAGTTCAGTAAAAATTTACATTTCAATCAATTCAAGGGAAACCGATCCTGTCAAGTTCTGATGGTTCTGCTCTAGTAACATGAATTGAAATTCCCGGTGGTTTGCTCTGGAGATATATAGCCCGTTGTGCTAAAATTCCAAATAACATTATTAATCTTCTATAATTCGGAACAGGATGCATAAATTGTGGGTTAACCATGCCGGGATAATGTCGATTATTTTCATACTCACTATAAAACAATCCTTTTCATCCAAATAGTGAATTTTTCTTTAACAGCTGGGAGATTTTGGTCTTGCAAAAGCACAAGAAGATGATTCTGTTACCTCATATAGTGGCATGGTTGGCACTCTTGGGTACATGGCACAGGAATATGCAGAACATGGAAAAATGTCGACAAAGACAGATGTCTATTCATTTGGAATGGTTATGTTGCAGCTTATCACTGGACTAAGGACAACGGATAAGATTCCTGAGGGGAAAAGTCTCGTTGGATGGGTACATCTTTTTCATGGAATTAATTTTTCTGTTACTTTATAGAAATGTTGGATAATTCTTATAAGCTAGGGATTATAACCTTTTAAAATTCTCATTTGAGATTATACTTCTGACAGGCAAAACCACTTCTGGAATCAAAAAACTATCCAGACCTCATTGATAAAAGAATTGCAAACTCCCATGACGTCCACCAACTTCTCTGGATGGTGCGAGTTGCTGAATCTTGTCTGAAAAAGGATCCAAATGTAAGGTGTACAATGGAACAGGTATGTTAATCAATTTTTAAACATTTCTACTGGAATATCATAAACACTTCATCCAAGGCGCAAAATTCTGAAGATCAAGTGCTACTCCAGTTTCATAAAATATAATACGCCTTTTATCTATTTCATTTTGATGAAAGTATCACAAATTCACCTCCATTGACTTGTCATTGCCTCCAACAATGTTATACAACGTACTGCTGTTTGGAAGCCAAACCGTTTATTCACATTCCATCAGAACTATAGTTCTCCATAAAAAACAATAATACTCGAATAAAATTGATAAAGTTTGTGGGAGTAAAGAGTTTAGGAGTCTTCTTGAAAGTAAAACTCCCATAACTACTGTCTGGTCTATATCCATGCTAAATTACTTTACATGATCATTTCTATTCAATGTCATCAGTTCTAACTGATTCTTGAATTGTATATATACTAAAGATTTATAGGAGTTAGATAATCAGCAAAATTATTGATGATGCTTACAATCAATCAATTCCGATTACCTGACCTGTATTAATAACATTGACAACTTGGATCATGTCTTTGTTAATGTTTAGGCCGATGATTGAAGAATAAAAGAAAAAAAGATGGTCTCTTCTTGTATTTGTTCTTGGGAAGACGAGTGCAAATTGGAGCAAATAAAAGTGATAGGTTTGTCTGAAGTTCTGATAATATTTGAAAGATCATAAATTTGAGATTAATCTAGGATTGGTGATTGAATCAGCTATGTTCTCATTTCTTTTACCCTTTTTTTTCCCTTCTAGAGTGAAGGTTCTAAAAATGGTCCCAGTTTCATCTACCCCTGCCCTTTTCTTGATAAGAAAGAAAATTCGACATTAGATCTCCTCTACTAGTACTTACCTCAGTCATTAACCCATCTCGTCCTTCATTCCCTTCATGTTTTGTCCACTAACTCCATCATTATGAATGTTAATTCAAATAAGTTAGATTCAAAAGAACCAGATGAATCCACAAAAAATCTATATGCTGCCTACACCTCTACATATATGAGATTCTATGTAAGAAAATTTTGGCTCTTTTTCTATCTATTGCAAAAATTTCCGTTCTAAGTAAATCGCAATGCTCAAGTTGGCTTACAAAGTTGATCACGCTACGATTGAATCCTCAAATATTATCGGTCTGTGATGTAATGAGCTAGATTTTTCTGATATAAACTCTGTAATAAATGAGACATGAGGTTTATCAAAGACACAGGACTACGCTAGTTGGTAGTGCCTGGCTGGTCCGACTTTTTAATAAATCTTAATGATAATAAATTGGCATATCTGAAGAACTCGTTTGAGAGGCAAAACTTGTTTTGATATCCAGTGAGATTATCGGAAACATGGTGAAGTGATTGTTAAACTTTGTGTGTTTTTTTTTTTCTTTTTTTTTTTAATACTAATATGAAGTGAGCTTGGTGAAGACCCTGGGGCTGTAGCCTTAAAATCTATTATGACAGGGACAAACTGACATTTACATCCTTATTCGACGCTCTTCCTATTAGCTGTATGATGTCATCTGAACATTAAGATATAATTTTGAAAGGAGTGTAATGAAATATTTAACCAATGAAAATTTGTAGTTCATTGATTATTAAGGTGAAGAAGAATGGAACTTATGAAAAAACATACATGGTAGAACTATAGCTGTAGAATAAGATCCTAACAGAAATGCATATATTGTCTCGTATAGTTGGGGATTATGTTACATCCCAAAGTTCCTATAAGAATAGGAAACGTTCTTGTTGACGATACAAATTGAATGAAACGATTTTATCAATGAAATAATTACAATCGAATATCAATGCAAATACAATCAACAAATCCTCTCATCTAATTATGAGTTTCACCTCCTAAATTCACTAGTCTATATGATTCAACTAGAGCAAGAGGAAAAATGGCCATGTGAGAGAGAAATATTTGAATTGCATGCCCTCTTCTTCAAATGAGGGAAGTATTTATCGATTTCCTTTAAAGCTTTGTCGTAGTTTAGTCATTCCTACTTTGTGCCAGGTGATGGCTCCTTGTTGACTATCTTCTAACTGATTTGGTTATGAATCACACTTTATCCATTTGCCCCATGCGCTCTTTATAAAGAGCCTGAAGCCAGCTTGTTTATGGTATATGGTTTTTTGCTTTATGTGAACCTTCTGTTTCTTTCTTCCCTTCACGCCTTGCCTTTCATCCCGCTAAGGACTTGATGGGTTCACGTACTTTATTTCGAGGGTTAATAGTTTTAGTACAAGAAAAATCTTGGTAGAAAGTCGACGGTAATCCCCGCAGCATGGCACAGTGGTGAAGCAGAAGGATTCTCCACGGAGCATCGTAGGTTCGAATCCGCACGGTAGCTGGAAAGCAACATTTATGTTAGAAGGCAAATTTCTTGTGGAGGCAAAGGTATGTGCGCTCTGTCGTCCCTCTAGAGGTCTGTCCACACGTCGCAAAGGGAGGTCTACATGGAGGAGAGCTGCATCCCGAATGTCCGGCCCAAGGTGTCGAAGCTGGGACCGCATCTTAATTTATCCGGGTGGCGAATTAGGGGAGAGGCCGCCACTCAAGATTAGTCGGGCGAATCTCGGACATCCGAGTCACTAAAGGAAAAGAAAAGAACAGTTGACGGTAATCCTACAAATATTCCCAGTAAACCGTTAGATTCAAGGATTGATATGATTACAGAATCCTCATGGTTTCTCATGAATAAAAAATGACATAACTTATCAAATTAACATTTCCATCACTATAAGCATCAAATGGTATATGTTCCTGAACATCTTGACAGAACATGGTGGGAGCAATGACTATATACTGCTAGTTTGACCTTTAAAATTAATTGCCAGTTAAATAATTTATATTCTTTCTATGTTTACACAGGTAGTTCATGATTTGAGCTGCATAGGTGAAGACAACACAAACTTTATTCGACACTTCTTTCCAACAGACATGGATTCCGACTCTGAGATTAGTATAATTGACTCCCATGTACCAGAGGATGAATCAAAATAAAATGAATACAACTTGAAAAGTGTTCGTTTCAGTTGAACAGTCTGCCAAAATCTGCTTCAAGAGATAATGGGTTCTTGTGGCAAGGGAAAAAGCTTCACATTTTTCTAATTTGTATTCAAGCTTTCAACACACTGGTTTATTTTCTTTCCTTTTTTGAGTATTGACTGTGTTGGTTCTGTAATGAGAAGGTTGGATTTTATTGTCATTTATTTATTTTTCTAATTTAGTGTTGTAAATTGTGTATATAAAAACTTGATTTTCACATATTAATGCTAACTTATAATCTTGCAATTGCTAAAACTATTGAATAATAAATTTTGAGAAGATGGTGATCGAATAGGTAGAAGGTCGAATTTTCAGTGCATATCATTCTTCTAGAAGGGATAATCCTTGTGAGGATTTATGATCTTGTGTTATTACTTAATTCTTTATCTCGAGATTATTTCTAATAATTTTTTTTGTTGTTGGAAGAATTTCACTATTTTTGTGGGACTCCAAGAAGAAATAGGATATGATTTCACAAAGTATTTTGGAAAAGAGTAATGCTATTCGTAGTCGCTCACTGCGATAGTCGTCCTACGTGGCATACACATGATAGATGATTATTTGATGTATTAATGTGGTAGTTTTTTTATTCATTAATGTGTCAAATAACCACTTGCCATGTGTATGCCCCGTAGGGCGACTGCCGCAGTGAGCGACTACAAATAGCATTATTCTTTGGAAAATAATAGCATAAAAGCAAATAAGTAAACATGGGAGATTTGAAACTTAAAACTTTTGAGAAAGTTTGTCAATAACCAAGTAACATTTTTTTTAATGGTTTACAAAACAAGTTAAAAGCAAATTTGACTTACTTTTAATACCTCCAAAATAATTATTGCTTTCCTCACCTGTCATTATATTTTTCATTGGGTTTTCGATTTTGACTGCAATCCGATGGTATAAGTTGCTCAATATTTGGAAGATTTTTTCATTTTTAAACAGCAAAAGCTAGTTCGTACATTCATTTTTTCATTTATTTATATTTTTTTAAAATCTTGGAATCCTTGCTTTGTGGAGTTCTTTACAAGTAATTTTCGACAATCTTATTTTAAACGAATTGTACTTCAAATTATCACAATTAACTCACACGAGACCTTCAATCAAGTCAATCTTAAATGAAAAAAAGATAAAGATAAAACTAATCAAGCACACAAAAAATTTAGAAATTATTATCATGCTTCTAAGCTGAATCAATTCATTTCAAAATAAAATAAAATAGAAATTTTACGTCGCAATCTTGTCTAGGGGTTAAATGCACCAGCAACAATGAACATTGTATTTCCCAAGATATTTTTAATTGGTCATTGAACTTTAAAATGTTTGGAGCAACCACTGAATTCATCAATAATTTTGTTTTCAACCGTTAAAAATTAGACAAAATGACGAGGGAATATGATATGACTCAGGAGTCGAGCCCGATGAGGGTAAGTGCGAGACGAGACCCGTTGATAGTCGATGGCGGACCAATGACGCGATCAAGGGCAAAGCAAGTGAAACAAGCAATAGGATTGCTCGTTCAAGAAACCATTGATGGAACCATGTTCGGGACTCAAAATGGAGCAACTTTCATGTTCGGGTCGAAAGTCGAATCATTTTGGATCAATTTAATATCGAAGGCCGAAGACAGAAAAAAATGATAAGCCTATGCGACCGCATAGGCTTATGAGGCTTGCGGTCGCAGGGAGGCTTACCGAAACTCAAAGGGGGAAACTTACTTGAACTATGGGACCGCATAGAAATGAACGTCGCGGTCGCATAGGCCAAAAATATTGGCGAGTTTTCTAATTTTGATAATTTTTCATATTTTGTTAGTTTTTTATTCTTTTCCATATTTTAGGGATTATGATCGACTTTTGCACGATTTTTACCTAGTTTTTAGGTTTAGTATAAATAGGAGTTTTCATTCAATTGCAAAAACCTTTGACATATTTGATATTGAATTAAAAGTGAGGCGTATTGTCTTCTCTTCATCGTTCTTCATTGAACAACTTCGAACTTATCAAGTGTTAACTTGTGGCGTTCAAACAATCAGATTTAATTCTTGGATTACGTGATTAAGGGGTCTTTCAAGTGTCGCTCTTGTTGAGTTTTTTGGTTCTACTTTCTTTGTGGTTAATCCTAAACTCTTGCATTAATTTGGCTTTCTTGAGTTCGTCAATCTTGTTGTGGGTTTCGTAGTCAACGTTGCTACGGGGTTCGCATCAGTTGGTATCAAAGTTTTTGCTCCAAATTAATCGAAGGTTATATCTTTTTTTTTATTTGTCTGAGTCGTTAATTTTGGTTTTTTTAGTTTCTTCTTCAATTTTAATTGTTCTTTCTTAGTTCCTCTTCGTTCTTGTTTTTCTTTTCGTCGTTGAGTTGAGTTGTTGGTAGTTTAATCATCTTCTTTCATCGAGGAGTAAAAAAAAAAAGAGTTACTGTACATTCAAGGTACTGTTCATCTCGAAGTACTGTTCACAAACAAAAAAAATTGATATTACTATTGTTTAATTTTGTTTTTCTACCAACAACAATTCTTACATTGTGTTTGACTTTGGGATATTCAATTAGGTTCGATTCTTTCAATCTTCTATTGAGTCTATTCACATATTTTTGTCAAAACATTCATCTATTCCACTTATTCAAGTCCTTTGTGTCTCGTGGTCTTCGATTAATATTCGGTTTGTTTGAATTCCCGGTAAAATAATTGATTTAGTTCACTTGGTTCTTTGAAGTGCTTGGAGGGCGACTTTGAGTGGTAAAAGGCCGAGTGGTGAGTTTAATAGAGGAAAAAAGCCATAATGAGTGTTTTCCGAGTGAGATCTTTGTCAGGTATAAAAAAATTTTGTGATATGATGTCGGAAAGAGAAGGTTCTAATTCAAGCCGAAATGGTAATGAGAACAATGCATCGGATGACATGATAAGGAGGTTTGAAAGGATACTTGGTGATGTTAAGGAGAAGGTGGATAGGCAAGGGGAATGGATGGCGCAAATAGGTACTACAATTGCTAATTTTAGCTAGGGGCAAGTAGAGATGTCTAATGCTAGGGGGTCGGGTAGGCGTGAATCTAGGAGAGGAAGGCGAGATGAGTATCGTAGTGATGAGGATGATTTTGATGAAAATGACTTTGATATGAGTCGAGCGAGGCATAGAGGCGATAGGATGGAAAGATGGGGTAGAAATAACTTGGGAGATGAAGTAGATGGAAATTTGGGGAGTATTAAAATGACTATTCCGCAATTTAAGGGGAGAAGCGATCCGGAAGCATATTTAGAGTGGGATAGGAGTTGAGATGATTTTTGAGTGCTATAATTATTCGGAGGAGAAACATGTAAAATTGGCGGTGCTTGAATTTGTGGATTACGCGATATCTTGGTGGGATCAAGTACTTACATCACGGCGTAGGGGTCGGGAAAGATCAATTATCACTTGGGATGAATTGAAGGTGTTGATGAGAAGGAGGTTTGTTACGAGTCACTATTATAGGGAAATCCATCAAAAATTGCAAACTTTGTACCAAGGATCGAAAAGCGTAGAAGATTATCACAAAGAGATGGAGATTCTTATGATTCGGGCTAATGTGGAGGAAGATCGAGAAGCTACCATGACACGGTTCTTGAATGGGTTAAATCGGGATATTCCAAACATTGTAGAGTTGCAACACTATGTGGAAATCAAGGACATATTACATGTGGCAATGAAGGTCGAGAGGCAATTGAAGAGGAAGGGGACATCTAGGGAACCGTTAGGTACTTCGACTCCTAATCCAACATGGAAATCGAAGTGGGATGACAACAACAAAAACGGGGCTGCACTTAGAGGCAAAAATGATTGGCAAAAGGGTAAGGATGAAAATGCTAGCAAACCAATATCAAAATCGGAGGCACAACCGTCGCGCAATCGGGACATCAAATGTTTTAGGTATTTGGGAACGGGGCATATTATTTCTCAGTGCCCAAACAAACGGGCAATGGTGTTGCGGGATAATGGAGAGATTGTGAGCGATAGTGATGGCGAATTTGATGACATGTCGGCATTGGAGGATGTTAATAAAGAAGAAAAAGTTGAAGGGCCGGTTCGGGATCTTCTAGTCACAAGGCGAGCTCTCACTACTCACGTCAAAGCGGATGACTTGGAGTTGCAACGGGAGAACATTTTCCACACTCCATACCACGTTAACAATACGGTATGTAGTGTTATAATTGATGGTGGTTGTTGCACTAATGTAGCTAGTGTATCTCTTGTAGAAAAAAAGGGTTTAACATTGTTGAAACACCCTTGACCTTATAAATTGCAATGGTTGAATGAGAGTTGCGAGCTGAGGGTGAATCGAAGGGTGTTACTTAATCTGTCGATTGAGAGTTATAAGGACGAGTTACTGTGTGATGTGGTGCCAATGCAAGCGCGACATATTTTATTAGGATGACCATGGTAATACGATAGGAAGGCTATGCATGATGGGTACAAAAATCGATATAATTTCATTAAGGATGGAAGGACCATTACTCTTGTGTCATTAACACCGACGTAAGTCTATGAGGACCAGTTAAAATTGAGAAGTGAGGAAGAGAGGAGAGCAAAAGAGTTTGAAAAAAAGAGAGCAAATAGTGAGTTGGAGAAAAGAGAGAAAATGTTGAGATAGCCATTAGAGAGAAAAAGAGAGAGCAATCACAAGAGAGAAAATAAAGAGAGTGCCCCGAGAGAAGAGAGAAAACACGAGCGAATTTCTTTGCAAAGAAGAGTGATTTGAGGAGGGCGGTAGTTGAGAGAAAAGAGATGATCTTTTTCATTTATAAGGAATCACTCCTTAATTTTGAGGAAACTAACCCACCCCTCTCTAGTTTGGCTAAGTATTTGTTGTAGGAATTCGACTATGTATTTTCGGAGGATGCACCAAGTGAATTGCCTCCTATTCGAGGCATTGAATATCAAATTGACTTCATACCCGCAGCTGTCATTCCAAATCGACCGGCTTATCGAAGTAATCCTGAGAAGACTAAAGAGCTTCAAAGGCAAGTGGAGGAATTAATGAGCAAATGATACGTGAGGGAAAGCATGAGTCCTTGTGCGGTACCTATTTTGTTTGTGCCAAAAAAGGATGGAACATGGCGAATGTGCGTGCATTGTAGGGCTATCAACAACATAGCGGTAAAGTATCATCACCCTATATCTAGGTTAGATGACATGCTTGATGAATTGCATGGTGCTTGCATATTTTCTAAAATTGATTTAAAAAATGGGTA